GTAAGTGGCAGGCTGTTCCATAACCTACCACCCATGACAGAGAGGGCAGCCTGGACAAAAGTGGTCCGCCTATAAGGGACTACACAGTCTCCTCTAACTACTGCTCTAGTGACCTTGGTTGAGGGTTGAGTGTTTGTACGTTTTATAAATTCTTTCAATTTAAATAAATAATAAATAATAATAATTAATAAATTCTTTCTTCCAGGATTTGGCATAAGTTGTCTCTCAGAGCGGTGAATTTATCCTCCCAGGCTGTCTGGCTCTGGAGGAGCTCGGCATCTCCAGAGGTCACCTCTTGTGTTGTCTTGGCAAGTTTTTTGACGAGACAGTTGTTGTCCTCGGTGAGACGGAGGATCTCAGCGTCTGTCAGGCTGATTTCTGCCTCCACTTTGACCCTAGAGTGGGTCTGCTGTGCCTTCATGCTCTGTTGACTTTCTTCCAGGTTGCAGAAGTTGTCTCTCAGAGACTGGAATTTATCCTGCCAGGATGTCTGGCTCTGAAGGAGCTCAGCATCTTTAACTTTCAGCTCTTCTGCTATTTCGGAGAGCTTGTGAATGAGGCAGTTGTTGTCCTGTGTGAGATGGAGCATCTCAGCGTCTCTCTGGCTGATTTCGGCCTCCACTTTGACCCTAGATTGGGTCTGCTGTGCCACCCAGCTCTGCTGTCTTTGTAATTTGTAATTTGTGATTTGCAGGTCTTTGCAGAAGTTGTCTCTCAGAGTCTGGAATTTATCCTGCCAGGCTGTCTGGCTCTGGAGGAGCTCAGCATCTTTAACGTTCAGCTCTTCTGCTATTTCGAGCTTGTGAATGAGGCTGTTGGTGTTGTCTGTGAGATGGATGATCTCAAGGTCTCTCTGGTGGAGTTGCTCCTCCATCAGAGAGACCTTGATGGTCAATTCCTTCTCCCGCATCTCCCATTTCTGGTTATTTGCCTCAATGTCTGTTGCAGACTTCTGACTCAGAGCCTCGTATTTTGCCTGCCAGACGTCCTCGCTCTGCTGGAGAGCAGCATCTTTGCTGCTCATCGCTGTGTGTGCCTCTGCCAGCATCAGAAGGAGACTGTGTTTCTCGTCGCGGAGTTTCAGGAAGTCAGCGCCCATCTGATCCATCTGTTCTCTCATCTGGGCTTCCTTCTCCTGGTACTCACTCTGTACCTGGCTCTCAACCTCCTGCCTCAAAACCTGCTTGATCTAGTTTGGGGCAGTTTGTCTTTCAGCCTCATACCTTGCGACCTTCTTCTTGATAATGTGGTGCATCTTTTGGTGTTGCATGTCCTTCTGGTTTCCGCAAGAAGCATTGTTGTGCTGGTGGTTGTGGTAGTTTTGGGGAGGTCCATGACGGCCCCCGACTTCACCAGCTGGTCTTTAGTGCAACACACACCACCGCCGTATGCCGTGCGTCAAAACGCCCGTCTCCATTATAATCTATGAACAAACCCCCACCAGCCCACTGCTCTATTTCCAGCGCGGCCGGCGCTGCGAGAAAAGCCTTTTATGTACGTCTCGGTCGCCGTAGTATCAACTCCGGGTGTTCAAATTATTAATAAGATAAGAAACACACCCGTGAAATCCAAGTTGTTGTTGCCTCAAAGTTTTTCCTCTTCTTCTTCTGTTACAAGCAGTTGGCAATCGTTGGCAACTAGTGTAGGTACAGCAACCTGGCGGGCTGGGGTGGGAAATACACTTTCGACGGTGCCGGGTCAAAATATGAAAACGTGCCAAGTACTGTTTTAAAACTATTTATGACCCTTTTTAGGTTAAATAGATCCTTACCTATCAGAAATATGTGCTGTGCCATCTCAGGCTATCTTATTTTTTATTTTTTTCCACATTTAATCAACATGCATATGCGTGTTTTGTCAACCCTGTTATGATACACCAATTAGTGTCTGAAAATATTTTAAATACATATTTACAACAAATCTGCTATATTTTGAAGGATAAATCTCCCCTTGTTACACTGAGTGTGTTTGTACAGTGAGAATATTGAGATGTTAATTTTTATCCATGGATGAATATGCTCATTTGCAATTGACACTTTCACAGCATCTTTCTTTTTCAGAACAGAATATGGAAACAAAACAATAATACCCACATTTAATTCTGTAGATTACTGGTTTCTTTTACTTAACACATAAAATGAGTTGATTGACATTTGTCTTTTCATTTTTTGAATTATACTAGAATATTATACAAGTAATAGGGCTGACACCTCAGTAACAGGGCTGACACCTCAGTAACAGAGTTGACAACAGTTACCATACTAATAGTTTAAGTTGCAGCTTTGGGTCTAATGAAGATAATGGGGACATTCATAAAACTTTAATTCAACATGACTAATCAAAGAATATTTTGGAGACATATTTATTGAGAGATTTTAGCATTTTTCAAAACATGAAGGATATTGAAAGGACAGTCACAATGAATTTGATCCATTGAACATGTTTGGTCTGCTCTGAAAGTTGCATCATTTCCTGGGAGTGAAATCAGCTTCCTTTTGTGAACATGCTGGTGAAAAGACAAATAAGTGTCCTCTTCTTTTCACGATTTTTCTTAGAGTTATATAATGTTTGACAGAGGGGGACAAGCTTATTGCGTCAGCCCTGTTTCCATAAAAGGACACGTTAAAAAGATATTTGTTAAAAAATTTTTAATGTACATAAACGACATGATATAAGCCTCTAATGAATGCACACCATGTGGTCTCATGACGTTCACCACATGGCTGCCAAGAACATTTTTCATCAACCCTGTTACCATTCTAGCGTAACAGGGTTGACGTAACAGAATTAACAAAAGTATGGTTTTGCGAGTACATGAAAATATACTTTCCTTACCAATAGTAGACATTATATACATGGTTTTACAAGTTTCATCGCTAGCTGAGAGGGAAATTGAAAAAATTGTGCACTTGGTGACAAGTTTTTGAAATTTGGCATAGTGTAAGGTATGGGTATAAGGTTTTCAAAAACCAAGTTGGGATAGCCACAAATTTCAATATGGCCCTCACCGGAGATCTGGATCTACTCCAAATTGTAATGGGTTCCATGTTGGACCGTGTTGTACCTCTCCACCAAGTTTAACACTATGCCAAATTTCAAAAACTTGTCACCAAGTGCACAATTTTTTCAATTTCCCTCTCAGCCAGTAGCATGTCTACTATTGGTAAGGAAAGTATATTTTCATGTACTCGCAAAACCATACTTTTGTCAACACTGTTACCATCGTCCCTTTTACACTAGAATGGTAACAGGGTTGACAATAACAGGGTTGCCGAAAAATGTTCTTGGCAGCCATTACTAGCCATGTGGTGAAGGTCATGAGACCACATGGTGTGCATTCATTAGAGGCTTATATCATGTCATTTATGTACATTAAAAATTTCTAACAAATATCTTTTTAATGTGTCCTGTTGTGGAAACAGGGCTGACACAATAAGCTTGTCCTCCTCTGTCAAACATTATATAACTCTAAGAAAAATCATGCAAAGAAGAGGACACTTATTTGTCTTTTCACCAGCATGTTCACAAAAGGAAGCTGATTTCACTCCCAGGAAATGATGCAACTTTCGGAGCAGTCCATTATCTCAGAAGGGGTGTGTTCATTAAAAGTAACACGGTTGACGACTACCTGGCAACCCGACTAAATCGTTGTTTTTTACAACATTTTACAGATATTAAGAATAAAACCCATTCATGAGTAATGAAAGGACACTTGAGGCTTTATATACAAGTTTATGTTTTTATGATAGTTTGACTTTTTTGGGCCTTAATAGCTAGTAAAAATAGAACAATCATATTGAGTGACAGGCCATTTTTACAGCTTTTGAATGATGCTTCGTACAAAAAGGTGTTTAAAACTCTCAAAATAAATAAACATTGTTTTAATGTTACAAGAGATATCATGGAAAATACATTCTAAAATGATTATAGTGTATTTATTGTTTATTGACATTTATAGCACAGTTTTGTTCGAGAGACACAAAATGGCACGTTTTCGTATAATGACCCTGCCGCTGAGCGCCACCACCAATGTGTGTTGGGGGACGGCACTTGACGGCCACAGTGCCGCACCGGCGGCAGTGTGTGTTGCACTTTAGTCTGTAGTGGGGTCTCCTTTCCATCTTTCTTTGCAGTGATGGCCAAGAGACTCCTCCTCCAGGTGCTCCAGCTTCCTCCCACAGTCCAAAGACATGCAGGTTAATTGATAACTCTAAATTGTCCGTAGGTGTGAATGTGAGTGTGAATGGTTGTATGTCTCTATGTGTCAGCCCTGTGATAGTCTGGTGACCTGTCCAGGGTGAACCCTGCCTCTCACCCAGTGTCAGCTGGGATAGGCTCCATGGTATGATATAGAACATTCCACAGTGCTGATTGATTAGAGTTTATCTATAAGGTCATAACATGAACTGATTTGAATCAGATCCCACACAAGTCTGCTAATATGTCGTAATATCAAACAGAGACCATACGCTCAAATACTTATTACCATTTTTAACTGTCAACATTTCAGTGTGTGTGTGTGTGTGTGTGTGTTGTTGTGGTGAAAGGAGGTGTCATCACAGAGCCTGTGGTGTGTGACAGTGTGAGCTTTAACATCTAAGCTTTGACACACTAGCTGCATGCCAAGGTTTCTTCCCACTGCTCCATCACTGCTGCTCTGGTAAATGGACACCACAGGACAGTCAGTGTGTGTGTGTGTGTGTGTGTGTGTGTGTGTGTTTGTGTGTATAGGACTCTTGTTACTGCTGCTGGAACAGACACAGATAGGGGCAATGCTGCCTTTACTGTCCCCTCTAAACTAGGAAATTGGACACTCGGATCTCTCTTTTATTTTGGGGAGTTCTCTGTTTTACCGCACTTCACTGATCACTTGAAGGCAGCATTCACCTCAACACACCACAGACTGACCTGAGCCGCGCATGCGCCCTGACAGCTGAAACTCCCGTGAATGCAGCACCGAGGATCCGGTGATTAAAACAAGGAAGATGCGGAAAAGTGTGAGGAGCTGAGCAGGAGTGTACGGGAGCCGGTGTGAGCGGATGCTGTGGCGGCTGCAGGCAGCGGATAGTGTCGCAGAAGCTGCTGCGTGTTGTCGCTGAGGTTGAGCCGGCTCGGATCCCGGAGAGGCTGCACAAACTCCTGGAGCTGTCCAAGGTAAGTTAGGAGCCTCTCTCCCCGCTGTCCTTCAGCTGTGGAGCCGCTGGGCTGCACCGCGGAGCAGGAAGTGCAGCAGTGTGTGGGGCTGTCAGGGAGCTCCAGGAAACACTTGTGATGTGTGTCTTTGTGATCGTGGGGCTTCAGCAGGCAGATGAAGTCATTCTCCACAAGTACAGTTTGACATGTACATGTGTGGTGAGCAGCAGCAGCAGCAGCAGCAGCATTAGTCCCTGAACCTCCTGCTCACTGAGTCACCCTGACACCAGGCACAGGACACACACTGCACACAGGCACTGTGGCTACACTTGGGTTGATATTGTTTTCAATGTGATGCATGAAGGCTAGTTTAATCACCATGGACACACTCAGCCTGTGAGAGCAGCTGGAGCCTGTGATGTCTTCAGTGTCTCTGGGTGTCATGTGGAGATGCTCTCAGGTTGCATCATGGGAAGTTGGCATCCAGTGTTTCAGGAAGTTGACTGATCCTAGGGACGCTGGGATATCTCAGCCTGTCAGCACGCTTTGAATTACACTGTTTTTATATCGTTATATCTCAGGTTGTCCGTCTGTACGTACTGGGGTCATCCCATGGGGTCGGTGCCTTTTGCGTCCCCAAGAAATAATCTGTCATAAATTGACTATAACAGCAAACAATTATGTAATTTAATAACGCCCTCCTGAGACCCTGTGTCCTGGGTTTACTGCACCTTATACTTCATACTGAACTCAGACCTGTCGTACTCGGTCGTGGACACTTTTTTGTGCCATCTAGTGGCAGTGAGAGGACAATACACTAATCCATGTAAAAACAAGATGGCAGCCATCTCTGCCAAGTCAGTCTGCATCTGATCCCCACACAAAAGTGGACAAAACCTGATCACATTTAATGGTTGCAACGTATTTACTCATGATTAATCATGTTTGTAGTTTGATATGGCAACAAATTTGACCAATTTTAACAACACTAACAAGCTGAGACGCTGTTAATTAAAGGGGAACTCATGTTTTTTTCAACCTGGGCCCTATTTTCCCATCTACTTTTGTCTAAATGACTGATAGGATGTTGAATATGTGACATTTCTCCAATATGACAAAAATACAGGGGACTTTAGTCGTGGATCAGCTTACAACTGAACATGTCGGCCACTTAGTAGAAAATACGGAGTTATATCTCGTGTATCGCTGTCCAGCCTGAAAATACGGAGATATGAATTTCTGTCCATATCGTTGAGTGCTAGTAGACACCTCTGCTGATAATTCAGCTCCTGGTTTAAGACCTTCTGAACAATGAACACTGAGGGAATTCTGACCAGGAGAAGTCACCTTTCAGATGCTACTAAATCCCCCTAAATCTTCCTGCTCCTTTAATCAGTGATGTTGCATGCTGATGAATAGTTGTCTTAATTTGCATACTCCAGTTTCGCATTGATGTAAAGAGGGGCTCAGTGTTCCGGTCCATGTGAGTTTCGTGTTGCTTACTGTCATTGTGAATCGTCAAAGTTTCAACCTTAAACTGAGTTGACGAGTAACAAGTGTAGAGTTGCCTGCAGTGGATGGACCGCGCTGCCTACAGTACACACTGCAAAGCTTTGCCCTTGTGCTGCCGTCGCGAGTACTGCATTAGCCATTATGGTTGAAGGTGGTACTTTTTCTTCTCTGCCTCAATCGGTCTCTTTCTGCCTGCACTTTCATCATCAGTGGCGTCTGAGTTAGAATCTCTCATTGACTCCCCCTCCCCACCAGCCTCCTCCTCCCTTTCCTCATTTGTGCAGGCAGTCAGTAGGTGTGGGGCGGGCAGGAGGAGAGGAGACGTTGCTCGTTGCACTGTGGGAGTTGAGTTGTAGATTGTCTCTGTGGCTGTGTTGATGCTGTGCTCTCAGGGTTTGAAGCCTTAGAAAGCTGTCATTGCGTTCAGATGGTTTGTGTTGGATCTTTCTGTTGACTCTAATTCAAAGAAGTTGTTTTCATTTGCAGTGATGTCACCAATATGCAAATGCACGCATGAGGTCATCAGGCTACTTTTGGAGCAAGTGCTAACTACCTTCATTGGAAAATAGTTGGCGACACTGTGGAGACAAACACAGATGGGAGCTGCTCTGATCAGCTGTGTTAAGGCAAAAAGCTTAGGGTTAGTGGTAGCCAATCATAGCACAGTAGGGCGGGAGTAAGCAAAACACTGTCGTTGAGTGCAGTGTTGCTAACGGCGCAACTTTCTCACTAGATCTGGCGACTTTTAAGACACTTTTAGTTCATGGGCCAGGCAAGAATTTGGTTTCATCTCGAGTGGTAAAACCTCTCTGGTACCAGTTTGTTTGTGGGCTCCATATATGTCATTTGAAACATGATAACCATTTCAAATGAGCCGCTTCACTAATTTTTTGGGACAGTCATCCATCTAACATCATCTGCACAGTAGGTTTGTGTGCAGTCTATTGTAAGATCCTGTGTACCAATATATGTAGTAATTAAGTTTGAATATAAACAGAGTCTATGAGTTTGTTCTGGGCTACTGTAGAAACATAGTGGTACAAAATGGCGGCTCTGTGGACAATAAGGGCTCAACCTAAGGTAACAAAAACATCACAATACTGTTTTTCATTATTCATGCATCTTGCAGCAGTTAGAAACATCAGTCTGTGGTGTTTTGCTGGTTATAAGCTGAACTATGTCACATATCTGACATACTGCTACGCTCAAATGTCTCACCTGGAGGCTGATCATCCTGGTGTTCATGCACACTCTGTAGAGGGTGTTTTTCGGTCCAGCTGGGCAGGAACAGTCCCTGTTGAGAGATTCTAGTAGGGTTGTCAAAAGTATCGATACTGTGAAAAGTATCGATACTCAAACGCTGTATCCGGATACAATACTAATTTACAAAAGTATCAATACTAACAGTGCACGCCACCTCAGTGCCTGTCGGGTGCGCGCGACGGGTCCGGCGGACACGCGCTGTGCAGGCAGCGTCAGGCAGGCACAGAGCCCTCGCTGCAACCCGGCTTGTTGTCGTCGCTGTGCATGCATGTACACATTTCTGTTGCTATAATATGGCCAGCGCGGCTGCAGGAGGATCAGAGCAGCCAGTTTTGGTCAAAAATGATAAAGGAAAAAGCGCTCTTTAGAAATATTTAGTCGGCAGGTACAGCCCCTCCCCTCACTAGCAGCTGGTGTCACCAGCATCAAACTAAAATATAATTTCTAACGTTAATGTGGGAGCTAAGCAGAAAACTTTATCAGTCATGCCCGTCTGTAACATAAATAGACAATGTTAGTTTAACAGGACAACACAATTATGTGTGTCTGAAAAGTTATGTTAACTGTAAAGTCACAAATTGAAGCTGAAAAAACGTTTGGTTTCTCCCGTAACCCCTGGTTCTCTGATCACACAGTGAGGTAGAAACAGGAGCATCCTGAGCCTAAACTACCAACTCTATTTGATCAGCAATGAAAATATGGTGCCAATTCACCAGAAGCACAGAAAATAAACAGGGCTGTAGATAAATACATTTGTATGGACAGATCTTGTTTCTGGTTGTTATTTATTTTGGGGGGATTTTTTGTTATCATTGATGTTACTGTTCTGATCTTTATTTAAAAAATGACATGTCTCTCAATTTTTTGCTTCTGTATCGAAAATGGTATCGAGTATTGAATATTTTCCTGGGTATCGATATCGAGTTTGAAATTTAGTATCGTGACAACCCTAGATTCTAGTACACCAGACAATCGAGGAGAGTGTAAACAGGTCAAGAACAACATTTCTCAACACGGAATTGCAAAGAGTTTATGGATTTCACATCTACAGTCCATAATATCATCAAGAGATTCAGAGAATCTGGAGAAATCTCTGCACGTGAGGGAAAAGGCTGAAAACCACTGAAGGATTGTGACCTTTGACCCCTCAGGCTGAGCTGCATTAATAACTGACATGACTGTATGAAGGATATTACTACATGACATTGTTTCGTGTTTGTTTCCTTATTTTAGAGAAGAAGTAGTAGAAGAAGAAGTTTCTGTTTAAATGTGAGGGCAATGAGTCGTCAGTGACGTCCTTAGTACTTGTGTAAAGCAGTGGTTATCAACTGGTGGGTTGTGGTCCAAAAATGGGTTTCAGTGTCTCCTGAATGTGTCAAGTTTGTTAGAAACAAGGTTTAGTTTGAAGTACAGTGGAGAGCTTTTATTTTGAAGTGCTGTTTCCTGCTTTAGAGTGAGTGACTAACAGACAGCTACTTGACAAAGACAGTGAACTAGCTCGATGGCCAAACACAAGTATGATGCTGAATATATTAAACTGTGTGGACCTTGAACTGATGACTAAGGAGGGATCTGGACCTCATGTCTGGACCAGTTGGGAAGCACTGGTGTAAAGAATAAAGAAACAGAGCTGAGAGAGAAGTTCAAACCTCGCCTCATCTCCACACACCTGACCAGTCACTGAGTGAAGTGGCCGTGACTGTTTGATGGCCTGTTTCACAAAGTTGCAGAACTTCTCGTGTGCAGTTGCTGGTGTTGAATGTGTGTGCTGCTGGTGGCTTCGCACAGTCTTGAGTGTATTTTAAAAGGCTCGTGGCTCAGTCGGGTTTGCCTCCAGCAAAGGCCCACATGGGGCACGACAGATGCTAAAAAGATGAGACAGTGTTCGAATAGAAGAACAGATCCACGCGGTGCTCCTGGAAGAAGAGCGCTGTCACTGATTTGCCGTGGTGCTGTGTAATGAAGGCCGGCAGACTGCTGCTCAGCTTGATAAAGGTCGCTGGAGTTCAAGCTGGGTGTTCATGCTGTGCTGGTCTGTATTTTGTTTTAATCTGCAGGTTTGTAAGACCTGCAGACACTATGCACTGTTCCAAAGTAATCTCATCTTCATTAAAGTATCAAGTAATGATACACATAACATGGATGACACCGGGACATGACAATACAGTCTCACAAACAACATTTTAATCCAACTTTTGGTGCCAGAATAATAAAATCAATTGCTTTTCGCTCCACTAGATGGTGCT